AACAGCTAGCATTCCTGTACTCTCATGGAATAGTTTGGCGGAACCAAACTCATCTCTTTGGTGTTTTATTTCCTTCACCACCAAACGTTCATCAGGCCGCCGATTACAGGCGAACATGAACATGTTCTCCCCGAGCATACTCGAGCCTGTCGTGAACACCAAACACCTCTTTCACCTCTTTGTGCTCGGCTGCCAAACACAAACATGTTCGGTTAGCCAAACACGACTGTAGGCAGGGCCTTTTCCTCTTCCCTATCGTTTATGCACAGCCGATTCTTGTCCCATCCATCATCTGAGTCTCACTCAATCGAGCTCGCCTCTCGTCCTGTCCTTCCGTTCTTCTTTTACTCTGGACGCCTTTCAGTGATCTTTCGGACAACCAGCTTTCGGGCAACATCCCTTCAACCTTGGGAGCACTCATTAAATTGGAATTACTGTGAGCTGCACACAACACTCTCTCACAGCCGAGAATTAGTCGTGCAAACCCTTGTCAAATAGAAGGCAGTTAGGAGTCATGGAACATTGTCAAGTGGGATCAAGAATCGAACTGCCAGAGATGCCCTAACCAATCCAAAGCTAGGGCATGCTCACTATAGTATACAAACAAGAAAATGAACCAAACAAAATGTGGTTCCTTAGTAAACAAAAATTGTGGTAGGGAACCAACGCAAGTGAGAATGCGAGCTATTATCAACCGCAACAACCAACACATTCAAAATTATACAATCTCCCACTTTATTTTTATTCTTTACTCCTTGTTGTTTGTTCATTACTATTTGCCTTCCATAGTATATATTCCCTGATGTATCCCTCTCGCCAGCTTTTCCTTCTCACCTCCTGTTATGCCTTCTTTCTGGTGCTTCCATTTTGCCCATTATCTTATGCAGGGACCTCTCATACAACCAGCTTGAAAGCGTCCCTTCCACTTTGGGTGCACTCAGCGGGATGTCTTACATGTGAGCTGCATGCATGCAGGTAGAATTGTAGTGGCACTATGGCATATCAAACCGGGCATACCAAAGCATGTGTACCAACCGTAATGCCCATTCATGTATCATCCGGCTTCAGTCTTTATTTTTATTTGTTTATGTATTTATACATTTATCTATTCATTTTTAGATATTCTTGAAATTATGTATTTATTTATTCATTTATGTATTCATTGATGTATTTATATATTTTTCTTGATAAACATTTTTTTTTCTCCCGTTCTTCTCCGCTCGCCTTTTCACCATCAGTTTGCCTCCGACTCACCATTGCCAGTGCTTCCCAATGCCCGATCGGATGAACCCCCAACCACCAGGTCCCTCTCTTACAACAAGCTCTCTGGACCCATCCCTGACACCATCGGCTCCCTCACCAGCCTTACAAATCTGTACGCCACACTCTTCTTTTTCCTAATGCTCTTGCTTAGAAATAATAGTGGAGACCTCTTAAACCCATTTACTTCAACGACTCCCTTTGGCGTTTTTATTTTTTGCCGCCCTTCCATGCTGCTGCAGGGGCCTTAATTCCAACAAACTTTCAGGCGCCATCCCTCCCTCCATTGCCTTGCTGCAAAAGATCAATGCACTGTGGGTGCCGCACTGCCACTGCCAGTCCGTCACTGCTGTTGCTGTGCATCGCTACTACTGCTTCTTTTCCACCCAACTGAGCCAGCCCGATGCTCTGTTCAATCTCAACAGCTTCAGCTTTGATGCCTAAATAATTTGGAATTTCACTGTTACTTCCTTGCTCTCTCCTGTCCATGATCCAATCTACTGTGTTGCTCCCCCAGCGACCTGAGCTCCAACCAACTGTCTGGTCCCATCCCCAAGGAGATTGGTTCCATGGTCGCCCTCACCAGACTGTCAGTCACTTCCTTCCTCCACACCTTGTTGCATCCTTTCCCTTGCCATCCGTGCCTGTCTTTCCTTGTTTATACACACCTGATTCTTGTCCTCCGAGCCTCACTCGCACGTGCTCGCCTCGCATCCTCTCCTTTGCCCTGCACGTTTTTTTCCCAGTGATCTTTCGGACAACCAGCTTTCTGGCAACATCCCTTCAGCCTTTGGAGCTCTCAGTCAATTGAAAATCTTGTGAGCTGCACACAGTCACAGCCAAGAATCGGTCTGCGAAGCTGTGTCAAACAAGCTATGGAAGGTTGGCGGTAGAAGAAGTTTGTTGAGTGAAATTGAGTTTTAAAGTGCTGATGAGGCTCTTGCCAGAAGGTAATGCATTTTTAGTATAGGATAAAAGACGTTGAGCCCAATTAGAATACGGGTATAAAGATGGCAAAAAGGTGTATTAAGGCCATCAATAATGATAAAGCGAGCGCAGTCCCATTTTCTGTTTGCTCTTTGTTTGTTCATTAGTACTTGTTGTTCTAAAATTCTATTATTAGCACTTCGTGCTTCCTCGCATGTTTCTCGTTCTCACATGCTGATGCTGTTATTCCTTCAATGATGCTTCCATCCACCCATGATCATTTGCAGGGACCTCTCAAACAACCAGCTTGAGGGCGTTCCTTCCACTTTGGGTGCATGCAGCTTGATGTCTTCCATGTGGGTCACATGCATGCAGCTGGAATTGTAGGGGCATTATCATACCGGATGCACCATTGATACACACAAATCATATATCTTATATTTGTTTACCATCGCGAAGTTCCATGCATGTACCAATCGTTTGTTTGTTTATTTGTTTGTTTGTTTTTTCTTGTTCTCATCATTCTTCTGCCTCTTACTCATGATCGCCTGTGCTTCCCAATGCCCAATCGGGTGAACCCCCAACCACCAGGTCCCTCTCTTACAACAAGCTCTCTGGACCCATCCCTGACACCATCGGATCCCTCACCAGCCTTACAAATCTGTACGCCACACTTCGCGGTTCCTGGTTCTTGTGGATCAGAAATTCTATCTAGGGACCACTTAAGACTGATTCCCTCCAATCATATTCACTGTAACTACCCCACTTGGCGTCCGTTTATTGCCCTATCATGCTGCTGCAGGGGGCTTTGTTCCAACAAACTCTCAGGCGCCATTCCTCCCTCCATTGCCTTGCTGCAAAAAATCAATGGCCTGTGAGTGTCACACTGCCACTGCCAGTCCGTCACTGCTACTGCTGTGCCTCTCCACCCTCCACACCCTGCCATCCCGTTGATCTGTTAAATCTCGGCAGCTTCAACTTTCCTTAGTTGATCGTATTTAATGTCTTTGTTAGGTTCTTACTCTCTGCTGTCCATTATCCAATCCACTGTCCCTGTCTGCTGTTCCCCCAGCGACCTGAGCTCCAACCAACTGTCTGGTCCCATCCCCAAGGAGATTGGTTCCATGGTCGCCCTCACCAAACTGTCAGTCACTCCCCACCACCACATCCCGTTTCATCCTTTCCCTTTCTATCCCCACCTGTCTCTCCTCGCTTATGCACGCCTGGTCCTTGTCCCGTGCATCCTCGGAGTCTCACTCACTCGTGCTCTCCTCACCTCTCCCCTTCCGTTCTTCTTTTGTCCTGCATGCCCTTCTCCCAGTGATCTCTCAGACAACCAGCTTTCGGGCAGCATCCCTTCATCTTTTGGAGCACTTATTCAAATGAAACTCCTGTGAGCCGCACATAACACCCTGTCACTGCAGAATTGCTTGTGTGAACCTGGATTAAGAGTGGTGGTGATACCGTGATTGTGGGCAAGGTCTATATGGGAAGTAAGTGAAGCTGCCAACAACAACAGTCATCCATTCACATACGTTCAAACCTAAGTTGCGGAAGACGCGTCTAGCGTCTTAGACGCGTCCGTCTAGACGCAGCGTCTAAGACGCTAGACGCTAGGCAGCATGGATTAGACGCAGTATTAGACGAAAACCCGGGCAGGCCTAAAAAACTTGTTCGGGCAGACCAAAAAAAGTTCTAAGGGGGATGGGGAGGGTGGGGAACATGCACCTATGTCACAATGGGGTGCATTTTTCCCCGTGCCATATTTTTTTCCCCATTTTTAGACTTCACAAAAAAGTTCACATATCATCATATATAGATAAGTTTCCATGTCTCTCTAGTAGTAGCAACCTCGAAGACCATTACTACTACTACATCTCTCTGCAATCACTACGCCTCCTACCTCTCCTCCTACTCATCCTCCTCCTCCTAAGGAAAGAGGTGGAAAGAGGTAAACCCTAAGGGTTTTCGAAAGAGATTTGAAAGAAATGAAGGTTGGGGAGCACAAATGAGGGATTTGTGCTCCCCAACCTCTTGGTGGTTAACCATAGAGGTTGGGTTTTCTAGATAATATGCGGTGAAGTGTGGTATGTGTTCAATTTTGGTTGGGGGGGATTCAAATTTGCTTGGGGGGCTGGTTTATGTGGTCGAAATGGGTGGGGAGGGGTTTGAATGGCGCGAAATTGAATTTCGCGTCGAAATGGCGAAATTCAATTTCGCGCGCGGGGAATTTTTTTTTCGGGCTGCCCGATTTTTTTTTGGCCAAGCGTCTTGCGTCTAAATGTGCGTCTTGCGTCTAGCGTCTAGACGCTAGACGCAAGACGCGTCTTGCGTCTTCCGCAACTTAGGTTCAAACACTCTGAGGCCTCTATTTCGCAGCTCGCATTATTGGTTCGCTCCTCGTTGTTCATTTTTACTCGTCTTCCAGCATGCGTTCTTGCTAGTCCATTCATACATCTCCTGTTACGCCTTAAAGCTGACGCTTCCTTTCCACCCAATATTTCTTTTGCAGGGACCTCTCATACAACCAGCTTGAAGTCCTTCCTTCCACATTGGGGACACTCAGCGTGATGTCTTACATGTGAGCTACACTACATGGATGCAGCTGGAATTGTAGCGGCCTGTTTTAATCGGGCACATCATTGGTACACACCAGACATTTAGCTCATTCAATGTATCGTGTACCATCTGTGAGTCCAATATATGTAACATGTGATTGCAGTCTCCCTTTTCTATTCTTCTCACTTCTTCCCTTACCTTTTCACCTTAGCACTGCTTCCCAATGCCCGATCGGATGAACCCCCAACCACCAGGTCCCTCTCTTACAACAAGCTCTCTGGACCCATCCCTGACACCATCGGCTCCCTCACAAGCCTTACAAATCTGTACGCCACACTCAGCTTTTCCTGACGCCCACGGACCACTTCACATTGATCCCTTCCCATCCCATTTCCTCACACTACGTTCTTTGGCATTGTTTTGCCGCCCTCCCATGCTGGTGCAGGGGGCTTCGTTCCAACAAACTCTCGGGCGCCATTCCTCCCTCCATTGCCTCGCTACAGAATATCAATGCACTGTGAGTGCCGCACTGCCATTGCCAGTTCGTCACTGCTGCTACTGTGCCTCTCTACTACTGCTCTTCTGCTACTTCACCCTCCACATCCAGCTAGCTCAATGATCTGCTCGATTTCAAAGGTTTTTGTTTTTTGTATTGTTTTTTTTTTGTTTTTTTTTGTTTTTTTTTTTTGTTTGTTTGTTTTTTTTTTTTGGAATCATGTCAGTTTCACCTATACTTACTCACTCTTTCCTGTCCATAATCCAATCCACTGTCTTTGCTGTTCCCCCAGCGACCTGAGCTCCAACCAACTGTCTGGTCCCATCCCCAAGGAGATTGGTTCCATGGTCGCCCTCACCAAACTGTCAGTGTCTCCCTTCCAAAACACCTCGATGCATCCTTTCCCTTGCCATCCCTGCCTGCCTTTCCTCGTCTTCACACACTGGATTCTTGTCCCATGCATCTTCCGAACCTCACTTGCACTCCGTCTGTGCTTACTCTGCCCTGCACGCCTTTCTCCCAGTGATATTTCGGAGAACCAGCTTTCGGGCAACATCCCTGCAACCTTTGGGGCACTCATTAAAATGAAATTCCTGTGAGCTGCACACATCACCCTGTCACAGCCAAGTGTTGATTGTGCGAAGCTGTCTCAAAGTGAAGTTAGGAGCCATGAAGAGTTGGTGGCGGAAGAAGTTTGTTGTCAAGAGGGATTAAGTTTGGAAGTGCTGATGTGACTCCAACCAAAAGCTAGGGCATGTTCCGTGTAGGATAGGGATGAGCAAGGGGCGAACACGAACGTGTTCGGTTCGCCGAACACTTTTAGCAAAAGAGGGTGTTCGGTGTTCGCCTGTGAAAGCGTGTTCGGTGAACCTCCAACACGTTCTTGTTCGCCGTGGGGCAAATTGCAACAGCCGCCCGAACACGAACGTGTTCGGGGCGAACCTTGAACACGTTTGTCACGAACACTTTAAGCTAAAAAAACCTGTTCGGTTCGCCTCGAACACGTTCGAGGCGAACCGAACAGGTGTTCGTTTCTTTGCTCATCCCTAGTGTAGGATATGAAAAATAAGGCCAAACAGAACTTGGGTACAAAGTGTAAAAGGGCAATCACAAAGGATTAAGCAAGCTTAAAACTAACTACAACCACCAGTACACATACGTCGATACTTCGTAGTATCCCATTTCCTATTCGCGGACCACTCATTTCACCCATTTCCTATCCCATTGTGCTTATTCCACCCATTTCCTTCTGCAGAGACCTCTCAAACAACCTGCTTGAAAGCGTCCCTTCCACTTTGGGTGCACTCAGCGTGATGTCTTACATGTGAGCTTCATGCATACAGCTGGAATTGTAGTGGCATCATTGATGCGCACCAAACATTTAGCTTGTATTAGTGTACCATCTGTGAGTCCAGCATATGTGACATGCTATTGGAGTCTCTATTGTTATCATTCTTTTCGCTTCTTTCTTCGCTTATGTCTCCATCCTTTTGCCTCCGACTCACCATCTCCAGTGCTTCCCAATGCCCGAATGGATGAACCCCCAACCACCAGGTCCCTCTCTTACAACAAGCTCTCTGGACCCATCCCTGACACCATCGGCTCCCTCACCAGCCTTACCAATCTGTATGAGACACTTTGTTTTTTCCTGATGCCCAAGTTGAAAAATATATAAACAGGGACCACCTAACACTAATTCCATCCCATCCTATTTTCTGGCACTACTCCCCTTAATAGACATGGGCATCGAGGGTGGGGTTTTAGCTCGACTCGTCCGAGATGCTCGTCAGGTTTTTTCCTAAAAAAAACATGCCCGGGGCGAGGCGAGTTTTACTAGCCGATTTTTATTTACTCGTCGCATGCTCGCCTTGGGCGACGAGCATTTCCGTGAAAATTTTGTGCTCGACGAGTTTTTTAAACTCGCGGGCAATTTCGCCCGCGAAGGCGCGCGGATCGGTGATTTCGACCGCCACTACGCGCAGATCGGCTTTGCCTGTCAATTCGCGCGGATCGGCGATTTCGCCCGTCAATTCGCGGGGATCGGCAATTGCGCTGTGGAGTCTGCCACTGGTCTTGTCAATCACTATGCTTCGGTTGAGCAAAACCAACATGCCTTTCCCAACAAGTTTGCCACTCGATTTCCCAACCAATTCGCCACCACTTACCTCTCTTCACTGCACTGAATCTACAAAACCCAACCACCAGATCCAGATTACGAATCCAGATTCGGATCTCGTCGCTTCAGAAAGTCACATCGTTCCTTGCGCCACCAGCCTATGGCCCATCACACAACCCCCTTCCCTCCCACGCTTGTGGACGCGTCGAGCATTTCATCTGCTTGGACGAGCTTTCTCCTAAACTCGCCCGAGCATGCCCTAAAACGACGAGTCCCGAGTATGCAAAATGTTGAAAATTGCTCGTCAGAGTTTTGCTCGACTCGGGGCAAAAGCTCATCGAGCAAGAGCATGGACGAGTCGAGTTTTGCTCGACTTGTCACTTTGACCATGTATACCCCTTAACGTGTTTTGCCGCCCTCCCATGCTGCTGCAGGGGTCTTCATTCCAACAAGTTATCAGGCGCCATCCCTCCCTCTATTTCCTCGCTAAAAAATATCAATGCTCTGTGGGTGACGCACTGCCACTGCCAGCCTGTCACTTCTGCTTATCTACCACTGCTGCTACTCCATTCTCCACGCCCAGCTAGCACAGTTCAATCTTCACAGGTTCAACTTCCATGTACCCGAGTATTTCTGAATTTTACTTACACTTTCTCACTCTCTGCTGTCCATGATCCAATCTACTGTCTTTGTTGTTCCTCCAGCGACCTGAGCTCCAACCAACTGTCTGGTCCCATCCCCAAGGAGATTGGTTCCATGGTCGCCCTCACCAAACTGTCAGTCACTCCCACACCTCGTCGTATCGTTTCTCTCGTAATCCCTTCCTGCCTCACAAAGCTGTCAGTCACTCCCCTCCACCACACCCTTGTTTCATCCCTTCCCTTGCCATTCCTGCCTGCGTTTCTTCATTCATGCACACCCAATTTTTGCTCCATGCATCCTCGGTTTCTCACTCTCTCGTGCTCGCCACACTTCCTCTCTGTCCATCTTTCCTCTTCCCCGCACATCTTTCTCCCAGTGATCTTTCGGAGAACCAGCTGACAGGCAACATCCCTGCAACCTTAGGAGCACTCGTTCAAATGAATTTCCTGTGAGCTGCACACAACACCCCTTCACAACCGATAATTCATTGTGCGAACCTGTGTCAGAAATTAGCAATTATTGTCAGTTTGTCGCCAAGTGGGATTAAGATTTATTTGGTACCCTAACTGAAGGCTAGGACTTGCTTGGTATGGTTTATTAACAAGAAAATAAATCGTACTTATACAAACTACAACAGCCACACAGAACACATACATCAAATAAACACACCTAGTAATATCAGTCTGTGTTCGCTTGTTGTTTGTTCATTACTACTAGTATTCCATTCTAATTTTTGCAGGGACCTGTCAAATAACCAGCTTGAAGACATCCCTTCCACTTTGGGTGCACTCAGCATGATGTCTTACATGTGAGCTGCATGCATAATGCCTTAATGTGGCATGCCTAAGCCGGATGCACCATAGATGCACACCAAGCATTTAGCTTGTATTCGTGTACCAAATGTGAGTCCCATACATGTAAATGGCGACTTGATTCCTGTTCATCTCGCTTCCCCCCTTGCCTATTTCACCATCCTTTTGCCTCCGACTCACCATCCCCAGTGCTTCCCTATGCCTGATCGGATGAACCCCCAACCACCAGGTCCCTCTCTTACAACAAGCTCTCTGGACCCATCCCTGACACCATCGGCTCCCTCACCAGCCTTACAAATCTGTACGCCACACTTAGCCTTTTCCTGATGCCCACGGTTCAGAAAATATTAATAGAGGACTACTTAACACCCATCCCATTTACTGGCACCACTCCCCGCCCGTAACGTTTAGTTGCTGCCGTCCCATGCTGCTGCAGGGGCCTTTGTTCCAACAAACTCTCGGGCGCCATCCCTCCCTCCATTGCCTCGCTGAAAAATATCAATGCACTGTGGGTTTCGCGCTGTCGCTGCCAGTCTGTCACTGTTGATGCTGTGCCTCTCTACCACTGATGCTATTCCACCCTCCACAACCAGCCAGCCCGATGCTCTGTTTAATCTCAACAGCCTCAAATTTTAGTATTAATTTGTATTTCATTGTTACTTTCTTACTCTCTGGTGTCCATGATTCAATTCACTGTCTCTTCTGTTCCCCCAGCGACCTGAGCTCCAACCAACTGTCTGGTCCCATCCCCAAGGAGATTGGTTCCATGGTCGCCCTCACCAAACTGTAAGTCACTCCATTCCACCACACCTCATGGCAACCCTGCCAACTGATTTCCCCGTTTATGCACACCGATTCTTGTCCCATGAATCCTCGAAGTCTATTTGCTCGTGCTTGCCCCACCTCCTCTCCGTCCGTTCTTCCTCTGCTCTACACGCCTTTCTTCCAGTGATCTTTCAGACAACCAGCTTTCGGGCAACATCCCTTCAAACTTTGGAGCGCTCATCCAAATGAAATTCCTGTGAGCTGCACACAACACCCTCTCACAGCCTGAGAACTCATTGTGCGAACCTGTGTCAAAGTGAAGGAAAGTTGGGTGGGAGCCATGGAAATTGGGGTGGCAGCAAAAAAAAAAGGTTTATTGCCAAGTGGGATTAAGATTCAAAGTGCGGGACATTCCATATCCAAAGGCTAAGGCATGTTCAGTATAGAATTGTAGGATATGAACAAGAAAATGAACTCAAACAGAAGCTGGGTCCAAAGATGGCGGAACACTGTAATAGGCCCATCACAAGTGATGGAGTGAGCTTTATCCAAATACAACACCCACCCAGTACATTAAATCAAACAAAAGAAGCATTCTTCCAGCATCCCATTTGTTCTTTGCTCCATGATGTTTGTTTGTTTCTACTAGTCCTCCATCGTGCGTTTTCCGTGATTTCTCCCTCTCACCTTCTTCTCCTTCTCACTTGCGATTATGCCTTCAATCTCATTTCATCCATTCCTCCCATTATCTTTTGCAGGGACCTCTCAAACAACCAGCTTGAAGACGTCCCTTCCACTTTGGATGCACTCAGCGTGATGTCTTACATGTGAGCTACATGCATGCAGCTGGAATTGTGGCAGCATTGTTAAACCGGACACATCTTTTTCACACACCGAACATTTAGCTTTTGGTTGTGAACCAACTGTAACTCCATTACATATACCAACCACCAGGTCCCTCTCTAACAACAAGCTCTCTGGGTCCATCCCTGACACCATCGGATCCCTCACCAGCCTTACTAATCTGTACGCCACACTTTTCTTTCTCTTGATTCCCATGAGTGAGAAATTGTAATTGGGGATCAAATTGCAGATTTTTCGGGTCAACCTTTTTGATATAGATGGGATGTTGGTTTTTGTGAATTGTGATTACGGAATGGACGAATGCATTTTATTGGTCTGCGCAAGGGACCTTGGGTTGCGGGTTTTCACACTCCCATTCCATCCCAATTGCTGGCAGTACTCCCGTTGGCATTGTTTTGCCGCCCTCCCATGCTGCTGCAGGGGCCTTCATTTCAACAAACTCTCGGGCGCCATCCCTCCCTCCATTGCCTTGCTGCAAAATATCAACGAGCTGTGGGTGCTATGCTGCCTCTGCCAGTCCGTCTCTTCTGCTGCTGTGCCTCTCTACCGCTGCTGCTCCACCCCCCACAGTCAGCCAGCTAGACGCTAGTCTTAACACCTTCAACTTTGGTTTTTTGCCCCTTTTTTTTTCACCGCTGCTGTCTTACTCTCTGCTGTCCATTCATCCAATCCACTGTCTCTGCTGTCACCCCAGCGACCTGAGCTCCAACCAACTGTCTGGTCCCATCCCCAAGGAGATTGGTTCCATGGTCGCCCTCACCAAACTGTAAGTCACTCCGCGCCACCACACGTCGGTGCTTCCTTTCCCTTGCCATTTCTGCCTGCCTTTCCTCGTTTATGCACACCAGTTCTTGTCCCATGCGTCCTCTGAGTCTCATTCACTCGTGCTCGCCCCACGTATCCTTCCGTCCTTCCTCTTCCGTGCACGCCTTTGTTCCAGTGACATTTCGGACAACCAGCTTTCGGGCAACATTCCCACAACATTTGGAGAGCTAATGCAAATGGAATTCCTGTGAGTTGCACACAACACCCTGTCCCAACCAGAAATTGATTGTACGAACCTGTGTCAAAGTGAAGGCAGGTGGGAGCCATGGAAGGTTGTCTTGGTGGCGGAAAAAGTTTTTTGTCATGTGGGAATAAGATTCAAGCTGCTGGTGATTCCAAAAGTAAAGGATAGGGCATGTTCAGTATAGGATTGTAGGATATGAACAAGAAAATGAACCCGAGTAAAAGTTGGGTCCATAGGCAGCTACTTCTGTAATAGGCTATCAGAAAAGATAGCGCAAGCTTAGTACAACACCCACGCAAGCTATCAGACTTATAATCAGCCCTTGTTGCTCGTTGTTGTTTGTTTATTACTGCTAGCAGGGTGCAAAATTTCGCCAAATGTTTCATTTTTTGGGCCAAAATATTGCTGTAAAAAATTTTGACCGATTTTTTTAATTGTAATTTTGGCCCCCCTCCCCCCCCAAAAAAATGGTGGAAAATTCCGCCCGAAAATTCTGGGGGGGAGAAAAAAACAGAAGTCGTGTGTAAATTAATGAAATTCTATGGGTGGACGTTTTAGTTGCATTTCGCCACCAGATGTAGGGCGGATCTGGCATTTTGCCATCAGATATAGGGCGGATTTGGCATTTCGCCATCAGATGTAGGGCGGATTTGGCATTTTTGCCACCAGATCTAGGGCGGATCTGGCATATCGCCATCAGATCTAGGGCAGATCAGACATTCCGCCACCAGGGAGATCTCGGCAGTTTTTTTTCATACATTTTTTGGTCTATGAATATTTCACCGTACCGTATTTGAAAAACGGCCCAAATTTTCTATCGAAAATTTTGGCCCGAAAATTTCTCTTCGCGCAATCTTCCACCTTGACTACTAGTCTTCCATTGTGCTTTATGCCCTCATTTGTCCCTTTGACCTGTTTCTCCTTCTCACCTAATTTGATGCTTCCATTCCACCCATGCTTCAATGTTGCAGGGACCTCTCAAACAACCAGCTTGAAGACATCCCTTCCATTTTGGGTGCACTCAGTGTGATGACTTACTTGTGAGCTACATGCACGCAGCTTTAATTGTAGCTGCATTATTGAACCGGACGCAACGTTAATCACACCTAACATAACATTTAGCTTTTATTTGCGTTCCTGATGTGCATGGATCAGATCAAGGTTGAAAATTACGGTTTTCATAAAATACGGTCCGTTTTTTATGGTCGTGTTTTACGGTGATTAAAAAAAAAAAAAACGGCCGCTTTTTTGTTAGAGAACTCTGTTTACCAAGAAAAATATAAAGAAAAACAATGTCGGAAACATTTTCAATCATGCCAACAAGGGTCCGCCCCCTTCATGCTGCTGCATTTCGGGTTCAATTTGGTCCCACTAAGTGGCCGTTTTGTTAGTTAAAACCGGAGCCCCAAACAGCACGAAACTGCCTCAACCTTCCTAACTTTGACCGTGTAGATGCTCACTCACTTCGCAAACTGTCGAAACAAATTTCGTCAAGCGAAATTACTGTACTAACGAGAATGACCGCAGTGACAGTTTTGCTCACAATTTCAAAGGCCGTCCGGAACTGTTGCGAACTTATTCGTACGTTTCATTCAAGATCTGGTTACGCACGTGACGTGCTCAGGCTTTGCAACCCGCTACCACAAAACTCTACACCACCCTGGTTCGCCCACTCACCTCCCTT